GTGGTCACTATAGTACCCAACACTGTCTGTGGGCACTAGTACCCAGCACTGTCTGTGGTCACTAGTACCCAACACTGTCTGTGGTCACTAGTACCCAGCACTGTCTGTGGGCACTAGTACCCAGCACTGTCTGTGGTCACTAGTACCCAACACTGTCTGTGGTCACTAGTACCCAGCACTGTCTGTGGTCACTAGTACCCAACACTGTCTGTGGTCACTAGTACCCAGCACTGTCTGTGGTCACTATAGTACCCAGCACTGTCTGTGGTCACTAGTACCCAACACTGTCTGTGGTCACTAGTACCCAGCACTGTCTGTGGTCACTAGTACCCAGCACTGTCTGTGGTCACTAGTACCCAGCACTGTCTGTGGTCACTAGTACCCAGCACTGTCTGTGGTCACTATAGTACCCAGCACTGTCTGTGGTCACTATAGTACCCAGCACTGTCTGTGGTCACTAGTACCCAGCACTGCCTGTGGTCACTAGTACCCAGCACTGTCTGTGGTCACTATAGTACCCAGCACTGTCTGTGGTCACTATAGTACCCAGCACTGTCTGTGGTCACTATAATACCCAGCACTGTCTGTGGTCACTATAGTACCCAGCAGTCTGTGGTCACTAGTACCCAGCACTGTCTGTGGTCACTAGTACCCAGCACTGTCTGTGGTCACTATAGTACCCAGCACTGTCTGTGGTCACTATAGTACCCAGCACTGTCTGTGGTCACTATAGTACCCAGCACTGTCTGTGGTCACTATAGTACCCAGCACTGTCTGTGGTCACTATAATACCCAGCACTGTCTGTGGTCACTATAGTACCCAGCACAGTCTGTGGTCACTATAGTTCCCAGCACTGTCTGTGGTCACTATAGTACCCAGCACTGTCTGTGGTCACTATAGTACCCAGCACTGTCTGTGGTCACTATAGTACCCAGCACTGTCTGTGGTCACTAGTACCCAGCACTGTCTGTGGGCACTAGTACCCAGCACTGTCTGTGGGCACTAGTACCCAGCACTGTCTGTGGTCACTAGTACCCAACACTGTCTGTGGTCACTAGTACCCAGCACTGTCTGTGGTCACTAGTACCCAACACTGTCTGTGGTCACTAGTACCCAGCACTGTCTGTGGTCACTATAGTACCCAGCACTGTCTGTGGTCACTAGTACCCAGCACTGTCTGTGGTCACTAGTACCCAGCACTGTCTGTGGTCACTATAGTACCCAGCACTGTCTGTGGTCACTAGTACCCAGCACTGTCTGTGGTCACTAGTACCCAGCACTGTCTGTGGTCACTAGTACCCAGCACTGTCTGTGGTCACTAGTACCCAGCACTGTCTGTGGTCACTATAGTACCCAGCACTGTCTGTGGTCACTATAGTACCCAGCACTGTCTGTGGTCACTAGTACCCAACACTGTCTGTGGTCACTATAGTACCCAGCACTGTCTGTGGTCACTATAGTACCCAGCACTGTCTGTGGTCACTATAGTACCCAGCACTGTCTGTGGTCACTAGTACCCAACACTGTCTGTGGTCACTATAGTACCCAGCACTGTCTGTGGTCACTAGTACCCAGCACTGTATGTGGTCACTATAGTACCCAGCACTGTCTGTGGTCACTATAGTACCCAGCACTGTCTGTGGTCACTAGTACCCAGCACTGTCTGTGGTCACTATAGTACCCAGCACTGTCTGTGGTCACTAGTACCCAGCACTGTCTGTGGTCACTAGTACCCAGCACTGTCTGTGGTCACTAGTACCCAACACTGTCTGTGGTCACTATAGTACCCAGCACTGTCTGTGGTCACTAGTACCCAACACTGTCTGTGGTCACTAGTACCCAACACTGTCTGTGGTCACTATAGTACCCAGCACTGTCTGTGGTCACTAGTACCCAACACTGTCTGTGGTCACTAGTACCCAACACTGTCTGTGGTCACTATAGTACCCAGCACTGTCTGTGGTCACTAGTACCCAACACTGTCTGTGGTCACTATAGTACCCAGCACTGTCTGTGGTCACTATAGTACCCAGCACTGTCTGTGGTCACTAGTACCCAACACTGTCTGTGGTCACTAGTACCCAACACTGTCTGTGGTCACTATAGTACCCAGCACTGTCTGTGGTCACTATAGTACCCAGCACTGTCTGTGGTCACTAGTACCCAACACTGTCTGTGGTCACTATAGTACCCAGCACTGTCTGTGGTCACTATAGTACCCAGCACTGCCTGTGGTCACTATAGTACCCAGCACTGTCTGTGGTCACTATAGTACCCAGCACTGTCTGTGGTCACTATAGTACCCAGCACTATCTGTGGTCACTATAGTACCCAGCACTGCCTGTGGTCACTATAGTACCCAGCACTGTCTGTGGTCACTATAGTACCCAGCACTGTCTGTGGTCACTATAGTACCCAGCACTGTCTGTGGTCACTATAGTACCCAGCACTGTCTGTGGTCACTATAGTACCCAGCACTGTCTGTGGTCACTATAGTACCCAGCACTGTCTGTGGTCACTATAGTACCCAGCACTGCCTGTGGTCACTATAGTACCCAGCACTGTCTGTGGTCACTATAGTACCCAGCACTGTCTGTGGTCACTATAGTACCCAGCACTGCCTGTGGTCACTATAGTACCCAGCACTGTCTGTGGTCACTATAGTACCCAGCACTGTCTGTGGTCACTAGTACCCAGCACTGTCTGTGGTCACTATAGTACCCAGCACTGTCTGTGGTCACTAGTACCCAGCACTGTCTGTGGTCACTAGTACCCAGCACTGCCTGTGGTCACTAGTACCCAGCACTGTCTGTGGTCACTATAGTACCCAGCACTGTCTGTGGGCACTAGTACCCAGCACTGTCTGTGGTCACTAGTACCCAGCACTGCCTGTGGTCACTAGTACCCAGCACTGTCTGTGGTCACTATAGTACCCAGCACTGTCTGTGGTCACTATAGTACCCAGCACTGTTTGTGGTCACTATAGTACCCAGCACTGTCTGTGGTCACTATAATACCCAGCACTGTCTGTGGTCACTAGTACCCAACACTGTCTGTGGTCACTAGTACCCAACACTGTCTGTGGTCACTAGTACCCAGCACTGTCTGTGGTCACTATAGTACCCAACACTGTCTGTGGTCACTAGTACCCAGCACTGTCTGTGGTCACTAGTACCCAGCACTGTCTGTGGTCACTATAGTACCCAACACTGTCTGTGGTCACTAGTACCCAGCACTGTTTAACACACATCAATCCTTCGTAACATCCACTCACCGACCTGCTCTCAACCTCGGCTGAACACCACACATGATCGGAACCTCCCTGATCCCTATATCATGTCTCGCGCTGTGTTATATTCGTTTAAGAACTAGTATTTCCAATAGTACCAAACATTGTGTACAAACCATTCACAGTCGCTATAGGCACTATAATTTTGGGAGAATGGCAGGGCTCATACGCCATGCAATCCAGCGTCCGGTTTCCAGGAATTGGACAGTTCATTCATATGTGAAGCTTTCATGGCTAAATGGCTTTACCGGGAAGGTACAGCCTGTGGGCAGGGAGAGAAGGTGGGAGGCAGGGAGGGAAGGTGGGAGGCAGGGAGGGAGGCAGGAAAGAAACGAGATGGGAGGCAGGGAAGAAAGGATTGGGAGGCAGGGAGGAAAGGAGAGTGGGATGCAGGGGGGAAAGGAGAGTGGAAGTCAGGGAGCGAGGCAGGGAAGGAGGGAGTGAGGGAGGGTGGGAAGTTGGGAGAAAAGGGAGGAGGGGGGAAGCAGGGAGGAAAGGAGGAAGGGAGTGACGGAGGGAGGAAGGAAGCATGGAGGGGTGGGGAATGATGTGGGATGATAGGTGGAAGGAAGTAAAGCGCCAGGGAGAGGAGACTGGGACGGGGTGGAGTGAGCGTGAAAATGTTTGCTGACCTGGTGTGGTGTGGGGAAGAGAAGGCAATATGTGAGGGAGGCAGGGGAAAAAGAGAAGAGTGTTGGGGAGGATGTGTGTATAATTGGGGAATATAACCCAGCTACCTTACCCTCCCCCGAGGATTCACTAAGCTAGCACTGTCCCCATTGAGTGGGAGGTTGAGCGGAAGGTGTCAAGGTGATATATGTGTGTGTCAATCTTGGTCACCCTGTTGCGTCAGTAATTATTGGGGCACTCACCTACGCCATTCAAAGATCCTAGGCTTCACTTCGCCAACATGAAGTAGTATCGAAATATTAGGAAATTCTAATATTTTTCATAAAATCACTCAACATGAAAAACGTGAAAAAATGATGTCAAAGTGAGTGTACCCATAAATTGGCTTATTCATATGCATATATATATATATATATATATATATATATATATATATATATATATATATATATATATATATATATATATATATATATATATATATATATCGTACCTAGTAGCCAGAACGCACTTATCAGCCTACTATGCAAGGCCCGATTTGCCTAATAAGCCAAGTTTTTCTGAATTAATATATTTTCTCTAATTTTTTTCTTATGAAATGATAAAGCTACCCATTTCATTATGTATGAGGTCAATTTTTTTTTATTGGAGTTAAAATTAACGTAGATATATGACCGAGCCTAACCAACCCTACCTAACCTAACCTAACCTATCTTTATAGGTTAGGTTAGGTTAGGTAGCCGAAAATGTTAGGTTAGGTTAGGTAGTCGAAAAACAATTTATGAAAACTTGGCTTATTAGGCAAATCGGGCCTTGTATAGTAGGCCGAGAAGTGCGTTCTGGCTACTAGGTACGACATATATATATATATATATATATATATATATATATATATATATATATATATATATATATATATATATATATATATATATATATATATATATATATATATATATATAATTATAAAGCATCCTGTCACATGAGTTTGTGTTAATAAATCTCCTAGTCCCTTTGGAACTTCTAATCGACAAAATGGGGAAAGGGAGCGCCGGTTATTTAAACTAAGGATGATGTTACCTCAGTGATTCGAAGCTCTCATGAGCAGCTCTGCTCACTGGTGCCTCGATGACGTAACTGCATCCTCAGCTGATCCATGACGTCACAGGTATTCTTCTTCCTCTTTGCTCCTACAGTATCTCAGACGTGGCACCGACCATCCACCAAGCTCCTCTTCCAGAGTAATCTTCGAGTGCCCTCACACCCTCAACTGGTCCCTTAATTCGCTGTTAAATCTCTTTTCAACCTTTACCAAAAGGTCCCCAGACGCCCTATGTATGGTCGGAGTATTGTTGCACCACTTATAGGGCTCAATTCTCCACGTAAATCCAAATTTGATTGATCTTCACGAGAGCCCCGAGGTCACGTCCCCTCCGTACCTAGTCTAGCAGGTCAGTGAGCTAATCTCCACTCCTTGGGGTCGGCTTGGCTCTCGCCGATGACGTCACAGAAAGACCATCGTCGCTGATTGGCTGAGCACCTGGTCCACCGCCACTCACCTGTCTTGTTATGTGATCCCAAGGCATTGAGTGCATTCCTGGATATCCTGCCTCTCACCCGGGCGCCATATTGTTCTGCAATTTGTCCCCACATCCCAACTTTACTGCTGAATATACTTCAAAATTGCACATAAGACGCATACCTTATTAATTTAAAGACGGCTTAGGCCATCTGTGATCTTCTTAGAACTGGGATAAATGGTTCTTGAGGCCGGAAAGGACTGTTATTAGACGACGATCATAACAATAAATAAACTACCGCTCACGGGATGAATATGGTGTGTACAATAAACTATCACTCGCAGGATGAGCATGGGGCGCACAATAAACTACGGCTCACAGGATGAGTATGGTGCACAATAAACTACCGCTGGGGGTAACAAAGCTCTGACCCGGACTTTAGGCTATCTTTAATCGATGTAGATGACCTACCTGAAGGGGCGAGTTATCACGTTGCAGGCGATTCAGAGCTGACGAGGAGAGTAAAGACTGGGGTGAACTGTCAAATGCTGAGGGGAACATTGACGAACTGCACGACTGGACAGACAAATGCTATTTCAACCCTAGAATGTGTAATGACATGAAGAGGGAACGAGGAGACCAAGACAGGATTCACACCATTAGAAGTCAGGCACAGGAATTAGAGAAAAACTTGCTGGTAGACATATAAATAACGGCACAAGTACATAGGACACCATCAGCAAATACCTATTATGAAGTAACCGTAATCAAATAACCATAATTATTATAGTATACAGTACCTAAATGGAATCCCTCTCTCACTGAGCACAAATATATCGATTAATATAGTCCAGAGCCTTCCAACAAGGCTGGTACTCCTAATATGAGGTCAGAGCTCCGAAAACAGGTTTAGGGAACTCAATCTAACAACTTTCGGAAATAGAGTTGGACAAGAGGGACATGATTACCACAGGCAAAATACTAAATGGAATAGACAAGGGTAATACAGTCAGTCTTTTCCAATTGATACAAAACAGATTCATCAAGGACAAGGCAACACTGGTGGAAATTAGAATCGTAAGTGAGTCAATGCTGATGGTAAACAAGTGAAATGCACTTAAAGAAGGTGTGGAAGCCACCTCTATCCACAATTTCAAGAACAAATACTACAAACCGTACTACAGTACTCTACACGTACTACAGTACGTGAAGAGATATAACAAGCACCAAGAACAAATAGGTAAGTCGGCTGTTGTTGTTGTAGTTTTAGATTTAGCTACTCAGAACGGAATGTTCACGTAGCACGGGCTATAGTGAGCCCGTAATTGAGTTCGGTTATTCGCGATAACCGTGTTACTGTGATATTTAGGTCAGAGTTTTAAATGGAAGTGGGGTTTCCTCCTTTTCTCCAGTTTCTTTTCCGCTTCTGTTTTAGCACACTGGTTTTAGTCTTGTTTTAATAACATTATCTTGGTGGCGGATATGGATCTTTTTGAGGTTATCTTGAGATGATTTTGTGGGCTTAGCGTCCCCGCGGCCCGATCCTCGACCAGGCCTCCTTTTTGTTACATACCTCCAGGAAGCAGCCCGTAGTAGCTGTCAAACTCCCAGGTACCTATCTACTGCTAGGTAACAGGTGAATCAGGGTGAAAGAAACTCTGCTCATTTGTTTCCTCCTTCAGCGGGGATCGAACCCGGAACCTCAGGACTACGAATCCGAAGCGCTGTCCACTCATTTGTCAGGCCTCACAGTGCTCACTAGTGTGTCCCATTCTTCAACTGATTTTCCAATCATTGTTGTCACTGTGGATTTTACATCTAATGCAGCTGCTCTCGTTGAATGAATGTTGAGTTTGATGCGCAGGGCTTCAGTTGCTTCACATTCCAGTAAGTAATACAATAATGGTGCCTCTGCATCTGTTCCACAGATATGACACTTTAACTATTGGGTTTATTACCTCCCAGCAGCACTTCTAGCCAAGTCTAAGTCTGTGTATGGCTACTGCAAAGTCTCTGGATATCTTTTTGCCAGGCTTGAAAGAGTAGTACCCAGTGGTTTGTTCGTACCACATCGCAGTGGATCTTCCTTCCGCTACTTTGGCTCTGTGGCGACTTTTGATAGTTAAGAGTATTTTCTTCTGGATTTGTTCCTTAATCTGTGAAAACTAGTAGGTCGCCGAGGTCCTGTTCCTAAACATTATTCCCCGTAGGTATTAATGGGTAAGCACGTCACCTAAATCTTGTAAGATACGTATATATAAAAAAACGTTCGATAATGAAGTATTCACGCTTTAAAAAGAGTCCTTGAATCTTGCAGTAACCACCCTGAAGTCATCAACACTGCCATTCTTCTAGTCAAAAAAGGTGTCCAGCAGCTGGACACCTTCATAAATACCGTCAAGGAGTATCCTCCCCCGCGATAGCAGCCTAACGATTAAATGCGACCTCAGCACACAGTATACATTTACTAACAAAAAAATCTACTACTTACGGGCTATTTATGCCCGTGCCACCTCTTGGGTGGCTTAACCTTCATCAATCGAAATATTCACTTTTAATTTGAAATTCCTATCTACGAATTATTTTAAGATTTTAGTTAAACTCTGATACATGCTTATACATCTAGTTGTTGTTTTAGATTCAGCTACTCGGAACCAAGTTCTCTCCAAACGAAGCACTACCTAATAAATTCCCTGTAATCTACCTTACCCCTCTATTGTCAACCCATGTCTGTTTTTTTTTAAACAACGCTGTTTGTCAACCTAATTGTTATTTGTGCTGCTTTTTCAGCCATGTTCCCCCCTTTTTTGTCTTTATTTTTATTTGTTCTCAACACATTTTATTCTTTATTCTCAATTAATATTAAGTTTTAGTCATTAATGTTTTTCCTGCCCGAAACGCTTTACGTAATAGTGGCTTTAGGCATTGTATGTACTAGCTCTATCTATAAATCGATCAAATTTTTGAAAATCTCTTGTATGTATGTACTTTGCCTGAATAAACATTTATTTATTTATTTATAAGTAGCACGGGCTAAGGTGAGCCCGTAGTGGACTTACCTGGCACAGGAGAGATGTAACTGCATCTCATGTTTTCATTCTCTGTATCTGTAATCTGCATCTGTAACTCTGCATTCTCATCTAGTGATGTTGTTGTTTAAGATTCAGCTACTCGGAACACAAGTTCCAAGTAGCACGGGCTATGGTGAGCCCGTAGTGGACTTACCTGGCACAGGAGCGGGGCAAGTAGCACGGGCTATGCAGGCGATGAGTCACAATAACGTGGCTAAAGTATGTTGACCAGACCACACACTAGAAGGTGAAGGGACGACGACGTTTCGATCCGTCCTGGACCATTCTCAAGTCGAAACGTCGTCGTCCCTTCACCTTCTAGTGTGTGGTATGGTCAACACGGGCTATGGTTGGTTAGCCTCTCATCTAGTGAAAATAAAGCTGATTATATCTAACCGAGTGAGGTACGTCCAGGCCCGCCACGTCTCTAGCACCGTAGAGGAGACGTGGTGGGTCTGTGTGTGTGCATGTTACAAATACCTCACTACAGTTCCTCCCTCAAGATACACCACTGAACACGCGATGCCACACGCCACTACTAGTTAAAAACAATCCACGCCAAGTCCTTTCCTCGCTCCTAATGAAATATTATGAAAATTAATTTGGAAGGAGATCGAACTCTTCAGATCACTACAATAATTCACATTTTGTAAATGAATGATTAATGTGACAAAATAAATGGTTAATGAGAGGAAATGGTAACATGTGGATAAGCAGTAGTGTAAACAGTCCCACATTGACCCGTCTTAATAATACTGTACGAGACATGATAATAGAATACTACATATAACAGTATAGTAAATGTGCCGCTCTTGCTTGGAACTAAATCAATGACTTTATGTAATGAAAGTGTTACCAGGTAATAATACATTATAATTAATGACAAATGAATAGAAATTATATTAATAGTATAACTAAATATAACAGTAATTATACTAATAATGACAATGCAGCATAAATTTCTGAATAGTTTTCAGATATTGTTCACCTTTGCTCTACTCACCTCTGCTCTGTGTACCTCTGTTCTATTCACCTCTGTTCTGTTCAATTCTGTTTTGTTCACCTCTGCTCTGTTCAGTCCACATAATATAAAGTATTTAAATAAAATTTTGCCAATATAATGTTCGCTGACACATTTTTAATACAACTCGTCATTCACTGTATGTTTAAACTCCTGATCAATTAAATGATAGAAATACGATAACATGAGTTAGAAGTCAATGTTCAACTCTGAAACAAAATTTAGAACTTGTTATGATTGTTAACTGAAGTACAAATTTAATCCATCTAAATAATAACTTTCGCACTTTGAGCAAAGTGTTGTTACTCACCAGTTAGGCTTCACAAAGTTGAGGGAACTGAATTTGATTCTTTTTGTTTGGTTTGTACTCTTGAGAGAAACGCTTGAACACTCTTTGTGTGTGTGTGTGTGTGTGTGTGTGTGTGTGTGTGTGTGTGTGTGTGTGTGTGTGTGTGTGTGTGTGTGTGTGTGTGTGCGTGCGTGTGTGTGGCCGGCTGGCTGGCCAGGGGTGCCACTTGCCTGGGCACCGTGTGTGTGTGTGTGTGTTTGTGTGTGAGGGGGAAAGAGAGATGGCCCTCGCCCTTGCTCGCACGCCGCGCGTTCACTCCACACTGTCCTCACAATGCTCTCTCTCACATTCGCCAGCCTCATCCCCCTCCCCCCTCTCTCCCTCTACCTCCGCCTCATCCCACCTCTCCCCTGCCTCATTCATTCTGTTTCTTCTCTCTTAACTCTTTCTGCTTTTCTCACTCTCATTGACTCTCTATTCTTGAGCATTGCTGGCGTCCGGGTTTTCTCTATATGCAAGTTCAACTCGTCTGGCAGTGCGTTTTTTAGCAG